TAGTTCGAGGTCTGCCACTCCTCAAATTTGATAATGATCATCTCTGCACATGTGTAAATGTGGTAAATAATCAAAGAAGGGTTATCATGTGATCATTGCAAAGTCTATTTTGAAACCACTGTAACTTCTTCATATCGATTTATGTGGACCATCTACAGTAGAAAGTTTACATCACAAAAAATATAATCTTGTGATTGTTGATGACTACACTAGGTTCACTTGGGTTTTCTTCCTAAGGATAAAGTCTAAAACAACCTCTAACCTCATAAAAAGGAATTGAAGTTCTTGCTAACTTTATGTTTGAAGAATCCGAAGTGACAATGGATTCGATTTCATAAATGCCACCATTAAGAAGTTTCTCATCGACAAAGGCATCAATCATAATTTCTCTACTACCTATACTTCTCAGTAAAACGGTGTGGTTGAAAGACGAAATCTACCTCTTGTTGAAGCCGAACAATCGATGTTGAAATTTACAAACCTTCCTCTTTATATTTGGGCTAAATCCATCTCCACTACTTGCTTCACTCAAAATTGAAGCATCATCAATCGTCGTCCCAACATGACATCTTATGAAGCAATGAATGATCGAAAGCCAAGTATCTCATTCTTACATGTTTTGGTTGTAAATGCTTTATAAAAAACAACCATGATTAACTCACCAAGTTTCAACCGAATCATCAAATTATCTATGTAGTTGATTTTGAAAGTTTGTTCGGACCAATAGAGACTCCTATTGATTCAGAATCTCAATCAAGACATTCCTTAATTGATGCTTCGGTTTCTCAAAATGTATTTTGCCTGACCCCAACCTTTCCTCCATTTGACTATAATCAATTTCAACCTTCTCAAGTTGATGGGGAGAATAGTCATCGATCTCTCAAATCAATTGTTGACGGATTTCAATATGCAGCAGATCAATTCACTGAATTTGATCCCATTCCGAAAAACAATGAAGATGATGCCAACTTCTTTGACTTTCTGAACGATGATGACGTTGACATATCTGGTTCAGAAGTTCAGGGTGAGCATCATCCTCGAATTCAAATTGTTTAGGGGGAGCAACACAACCCTATTATTGATATCAGATCATCCGTTGCACAAGAACTTCCGAGATTGCATAAGTGAACAAAGTTTTATCCTCCAAATCAAGTTATTGGAAATCTTAACTCTGAAATTCAAACTCACTTTGCTACTAACATTCAAAATGAGTTTCACTTTTCGGCATTTGTATCAATGGTTGAACCTAAATCCATCAAAGAAGCCTTACACCATTCTGATTGTATTACATCCATGCAAGAAGAGCTAGCAGAATTTGACAAAAATCAAGTGTGGACTCTTGTCCCTCCTCCTTAGGTATAATATGGGTCTTTTGAAACAAACTCAACGATGCCGAAGTCATAATTAGAAACAAAGCAAGATTGGTATCCAAAGGATTTACTCAGATCGAAGGACTCAACTACGACAAGACTTTTTCTCCTCTTGCTCGTCTTGAAGCTATCCAAATGTTTCTCGCTTATGCTGCTCACAAAGGCTTGAAAGTTTAAAAAATGGACGTCCAAAGTGATTTTCTCAATGGTGAACTTGGCACTGAAGTGTACTTTCAATAGCCTCCTGGGTTTGTAAATCTTTCATATCCGAACTATTATTATAAACTTGAAAAGGTTGTTTATGGCCTCAAGCAAGCTCCACACGCCTGGTACAAGACACTCACTGATTTTGTGAAGTGTTCCAGTTTTCAAAGAGGAATTCTTGCTGCTACATTATTCCAAATATCAAATGGAAACCATCTCATGTTAGTTCAAATATATGTCGACGACATCATTTTGGATTGATCCAGCAATGGTTGCTAATTTTGAAAAGCTAATGGTTACTCAATTCCAGATGAGTGTGAATCATGAATTAAGCCTCTTCCTCGGACTGTAAGTTAAACAGACCAATAGAGGAACCTTCATTCATCAAGATAAATACATTTCTGAACTTCTGAAGAAATATTCTATGGACATCTGTGCCTATACAAAGGTTCCAATGGGTTTCAGAAATAATATCTTCTCGGACCCATTAGGTGTTTCCGTAGATCAGAAGAAGTATAGGGGAATGATTGGATCGCTACTCTACCTCACTACAAGTCATCCGGACGTTATGTTCTCTATATGTTTGGGTGCTAGATTCCAGGTTAATCCGGAAATGTCTCATCTTTTGGTTGTCAAGCAAATCTTCCAATATCTCAAAGGAATCAAGCACCTCAGAATTTGGTAGCCGACAAATGAAAGTTTCCTTCTTCAAGCTTATTCCGACTCAAACTATGGAGGACTTCAACTTGATAAAAAAGCAGTATTGTTCTTACAATAGCTTAAGCGGAATACATTGTTGTTGCATATTGCACATCGCAAGTTCAACGAATGAAATCTTAGTTTTTGGTTTATGGATACCGATTTCAACAAATCCCTATCTATTATGACTCTCAAATTCCAATTCTGATCTCTCACAATCCAATTCAGTATTCCATGACCAAGCACATTGATATACGATACAATTTTATTAAAGACCATGTTCTAAAAGGTAACATTGAGCTCATTTTTGTTCCATCTGATGATGAAATTGCTGATGTCTTTACTAAGGAATTAGACAAAACCAAATTTAACGGGTTTTTAAACAAAATGAGAATGATCTTACCTGATCCTCAATTCTTCCAAGAAGTTTTCACTCTCTAATGGAAACATTAGAAATTTCAATAATATCAAATAAAAAGTTTTTCTCCTCTGAATTGTTTTTTTCTCGTAAAATAAAGGATCATTATATGTCTTTTTGTCTAACATTTCCTCTAGTCTTAAGTTTTTCAACTTTCCTCATCATTTGAAGTTTCGTCTGATATAGTCACATTGGATATCCTGAAATATTGTCATCTCAAAGTATTTTACCTCAGAACGTTATCTCTGAAGTATGTATGGGAATTCAAATCCGAAATGGTAATGTGATTTTGTCACTTATCTCCTTCCGATCTCTGTTCCTTCAGCTCTTGGAATTTCAACTCTCTTTCAAAACTTGTCCTCTAAGATCTTCATGAATTTTTACCTCTGACATTTAGTTTGAGTTTGTGTCATCCCAAATTCCATATCATGTACTAATGATGTGTTTGATTTCTTTCTGAAGTATCTTATGACACTCCATCTCGGAATCTGGTTATTCTGAAATTCTCTCAAACAAATGAATTTTAAGGTTATCATTGAAGTTATTATTCTGAAATGTTTTTCAATGAATACCTCAATTGTAATTTTTTTTATGATTATCCTCTTAATTCTCAATAAACATGCTTTGGCACACGTCTCAATAATTCTAAACCTGCATCAAAGAAGAAATCATGAAAGGGGTCTGCTTCATCCTCATCCACCGAGTTCATTCTTAAAGAAATAGCCTAGTTGTTTTCTATCGATGCCATGGATTATGATGAATCTGTACACATCATGATCGAGTTCATCTCTCGTCGTCCCATCATCGTTCCTCTCACCAAAATCCGTAACCCTAATTTTCCTCTCCGGCTTCTTCACAAATCCTTTGAACAAGTGAAGATCGATAAAGATATTCTTGAGGTAAAGATAATTGATGACAAGATTATACCAGTTCATAAGGGTACGTTTCTCAAGGATTTCAAACTTTTAGAAAACCCCAAAGGTTTTCAAGTTTAGGAACCAACGTCTGAATAGTTTCAGCCGTTCTTGTCTCAATTCAGCTACAATGGATAGTTCAAGGAAAAGGAATTCAAGAAATCAGCAGTTCCTGGCTTATGGACCATCTTGATTCTCTTGATTATTCGAGGATTGTCTAGTGGTACATACACCATTGGAAAAGATTGGCTCTACGTGGTATACAACATCTTCACTGGAAGAGCTAACATCGTCGACCTACCGGGGGTTCTATGATAAGACTTCAAAAAGTTTGTTTTCAATAGAAAACCGAACGAGATCTCAAGTACGATATTATGGCTCTGACTCTGCAGCAACTCTACTTTGAGAGACATGAAGCCATTTCACTGAATTCAGACATCTAAGATGTATACTGCTCTTTCAAAACTATAAAGACTTATAGGTTACCAAGTCAGTATGCTTTCGAACCTATTAGACGTTTACCTAAACATATGTTGTCCACTGTTCCATCCAACTCACCACATCTCAAATATCATTTTGAGATATCGTTTGTGTTTTTCCTAACACAAGCTACCCCAATCTCGGATGAGAACAAATCCACCACTTTTGGAGGACCCATCAAACAAATTGCCAAACGGAAGGCATCCCCTTCAAAAGTACGAACCAAAAAGAGAACCAAAGCTGATGAATCATGTAAAAAGGATTCACAAATCGGCATTCGATCTAACTTGGATCTCAGCTTACGCCACCTGGCCACTCTTCTGAAGTGCCCTTTAAAGCTTCAAAATCACTTGCACACACACACACACATATGGGGAGTCTGCTTATAATCTACCCCCATCTTCTCAAAAAGATGGTGTTGGTATTGAACAAAGTCCTTTGAAGCTCCCTGGTATACACTCACGTGTCATCTTGTAAATCTATCTCATTTATTAACAAGCATAATGAGGGGTCCCTGCCTCTAATTCCAAGTTTTCTGAAGCTATAGTAGTCCCTCCTACTTCGAAAGTCACTACCAGTCTGATACCTGGTTCAGTTACAAGACGATCGGGTGTTTTTGACAACAACTGGTTAGATTTTGTAGACAGGGCTCATACAATACATCTGGAGCTCACCAAATAACAAGTTTAGTACATGCTCATTTCCATGTGTCAACGAGCTCTCTGAAGTCGACTTCCTTTCACCTTTTCATTAAACGAAGAAACAAATCAAGAGCTTCCACCATCCATCAACTTCTTGAAGAAGTTTACGAGTACCAAGGTTCCGACTCCTGAAAACATTGGAGATGATCCTGCAACGTCTACAAGTTCAGAAGATCCTAAATTTGATGTTGAAGGTAATCTTTCCAATGAGATCATGTTTGAAGATGACAAGACTACAGTTGGTGCTATTCCGATTTCTACTGCCTTCAATCTTCTGCAGAAACCTTCTTCCTCAAAAAAGCATTTTGATTTTGGTCTATCTTCGTCCTCTGAGGTATTTAAAGAAGAAGAAAATCTTGAAGGAAACAAGCACTACTCTCCTCCTCCTAATGGTACCTTGAAAGGTGATCAAGGTGACAAAGCACAAGATACTCTAGGTGATGATTCTAAGCCTACCGAGCCAAATAATGATGACAATGAAGATGATAAGAAATATGAAAGTTCCACCTCAGACACAAGATCCTCCGATGTGAACTTTGCAGATCCTTTTTCCTGTTGGAACTCCAACACAGAGTTGCCTCGGCCAACTCCAAAGTCGATAAAATCGATCAGAAAGTAGCAAGGTTTGATTTGAAGCTTGATCAAAAAGTCGGAGGTCTTGATTCAAATATGGAACTCATCCTCAAGTCTCTTTTTGATATCCAAGCTCCCGCTCCCTCAAAACTTGATCAAGCTAATCAGTTAGATAAGCTTATTTGGCTTCGCCTTAGTCGTACTCTTGAAGATGCCGAAGCGCACTACATGGAAAACATGGATTATCACATATCCACTGTCACCACAATGCTTAAAGTTCATGATGGCGTGATTTCTACCACCAACACTCTAATCAAGCAAACTCACATCCGACATGCAAATCAAATTCAACAGTTAGAGAGTGAATTTCGTAACTAAGATGCAATGAACATGGTTATGCAGTAAGTTCTCATCAAGATCATTCATGCAACTCAACATCACTTCGATATTCCAAACTACAAGTTTGATGAAATACTTCACATCCTTGATGAAACCTTCAATCAAGTCAAACAAGATCCTACCACCTAGGCATATGATTCTCTTTCCAAGCAAGTCAACATCAACTTTTAGAAAGTTTTTTAACGATTAAGTGAGCTTAAGTCCGATAAAATGCTTGCATTGGAAGCTAGGCCTTCCTATGCAAGAGGGGGAGGACAAGAACAAAACCATGTGCAATGGAAAACTATCTCGGATTATACGCTTCATGATGAATCAACCGATGATGAAGTCTTGGAAGTCGAAACTCTTGAAATATATGATAATGATGAATATTTGGTTGAAAATTGTGATTTTAGTACTCCAAGAAATCAGGGAATCTCCCATCAAAGTCCTTTTGGAAGGAGAAAAGATGAAATGGTCCTCCGTTTCTTGGACGTCATCTGTATATGAATCCTTTCAAAGGAGACAAGACATGGCTTAGGTAAAAACCAAGCTAATAATTGACGCCTTCCAAGCCACTCATTTGATGCTTCATCCAATTTTTCTTCGAGGATCGTTCCAATCGACAAAGGTTGTCCCACAGGAAACCTAACGAGATTCCTGAAGAGCCTTTGATTCCTCCTCCATCCGAACTATTCATCACTAAATCTTGTTGTCAAATCATCTTCTCCTTTTCTGAAAATGGTGAAAATCCCCAAGAAAAAGGAAAAAAGATTGCTACAAATTCGGACAGCCCAATGAAGACGTTTAGAAAGTCTGGGGGTTGGTCCCATGAACAAATTGAGAAAGTATTGGAAGAAAGCATTCTGATTCAAGGTCTCAAAGACAACCCAAATCCGATGTTGGGCATTTCTCCTCTCTTTTGAGACGTAATCATTCATGATATACATTTTGTGCCCTTTATATATATTGATCTTCCAACAAAAGATGCTGATCATATCGACTTGCCAATCTCTCATCATGGGTAATACTATATCAAGTTTACACCTCTGCATCCAACCAATGATCCTCAAACAATCATCCAAACTGAAAGTGAAAGATTGAGAACCTTTTATTCCGTCAATGCATGACCCGAAAAGGAAGTGTGGTCTCGGAAAAGTATTACCAAGATTGTCGGATACAATAATAAGGTTCAAAGTAAGTTCGAATTAGACTGTCTTTTTCATAGATATTTCATATCTCGGAACACGGAATCCAGCATCACCATCATGGATGCAAACTCTCATTCAATGAATCCCAATGATATTCTCACTTTAGCTGTTCATTTTCGACATTTTCAAACCAATGAATCAAGCATTGGAGGCTACAACACTGCAATTAGCTTCATAAAGGACTACATTGCTGATATTTGTCGATCAGATGTAGATTTTGATCATCTTTTTGGAATGGAAAACCTCTTAGCCAAGATTATTACCGAACTTCCTGAAGCCTATATCTTAACTGAAGGACCAATCGAAGAACCAGAACATGGTTGCATCTACCCCAAGAAGAAACAAATCAAAATGAATTTTTCTAAGTGCTAGAAAAAAATCTTATTCCTATCAAGATTCTTCAAAAGGTCATTTCTAATGCTGCTAAGAGTGATTCTTCCGAACATGTCAAAAAGAAATTTATTGAGCATCTCAGATGGTACATCGAGGTCAAAAGCTGGCTCCAAAGTGCTTACCTATTTGTGTTTGATGAAGCTAAGTGATGAATCAAATGATTGCTAAAGTCACTTAGGGGGGAATTGTTGATACATGAAAAGTGATCCTTTAGCAATCCGAAGTGAAGTCAATTTCGAAGTAAGAAGTGTTCCGAGATGAAGCCAATTCTGAAGTGAATATTTGTACAAGATGCATCTTTTGTTAGTTGCTATATGATTTTGTAATGTGCATTAAATGTTCCTAGTACTACTTGGTCCCTTAGTCATTGTTTTGTTGAACAGTACATGGGACAAGATCAACAGATGCGGCTTTGTCGGTCTGTTGATCTTCGATTGTCTTTTAGTTCATGCACTTTAGTGAATTTGTCTTTTTGTCATTCCTTGTATATTTAATGAATTGTAACCTTGGTGTTAAGCACGCATGATTGCAACATTCTCTTTCACATGAATACCAAGAATCATTCAGTCAAATCATTCTCTCTATCATTCTTATCGTTCTTAAAATCACTTTACATTGTTCATACTTACTTTTACTTATTTGATCACTTTGTTGAACTTATAATTTTGAGACAAGACTGGTTTAATAGAATTGACCAGACTCTAATATTAGCCGCAAATATTGATCTTAAGTTAATTTTGTTGGATAAGGTGTCTAAGTCCATAACTATTTATGGTAAATACTTGACCTGACCAGACATGGTCCATTTGGGTTGCATGGCATCATGCAATTGAATAAACTAAATGAGAGAAATAACACTTATGGTTATTAATATATTATAAATTCTAATATATTAATAATATTATTTAATTAGTTTTGATCAAGAATTAATTTAGAATTGATTAAGTGATCAAAAGATAACTAATTAGATATATGGGTAGATTAAGTAAATCTTCCATATCTTATATAGTGGGCTAAGAGGCTCCATGGATTGTCAAGTTGGTTTCCACCCATAGGATGCTCCATGGAGTTAACCCATGGATCAAGAAATGAAGAGTCATGGAACATTAGGGTTTACCTAATGCAACACACTATATAAGCAATGTAACTCTCCCCAAAATCAGCTACACTAAGAAAGAAGAGGGCTTGGCCGATTTTGCAAGTGTTAGAGTATTCTCTCAAGTTTATTCTTTGCATTTGGTGTTGTGTGAAGCATTTGAGGCATCACACTTGAGGTGCTAGGCTCACAAGGTTTCAAGGAACACTTTCAACATCAAGGTATTTAGTTCTATCTTTTATACAAAGAAAATTGTACCCCATGTATGCTAGATAGGTTCATAACCTTGGAAAACAACTTTGCATGATTATTAGACAAACATAGATCCAAGGTTATTAGGGTTGCATGTACACTTAGGAAGTGTTAGAATGCTCAAAACCCATCAGTGGTATCAAAGCCTAGGCTTGTTTGTCGATTTTTTTTGCAAACTGCTTTAAAAAAATCGATTTTCTGTTTTCTACTTGTATGAACTCGCCGAGTCCATGAACAAATGCAAGCTACTCGTCGAGTCTATTCTTGCACTCGATGAGTAGAGGCAGATGTGTTTAGAATTTCGATTTTAGTTGCTGGAAATGGACTAGAAACATTACCCTAAATTGTTTTGGTACTTGAAAACATGTTTTGGATGGTGTAATGTTTATGCTATCCATTTACAATGACAATTATCAAAATTACAAGTTTTAAGTGTAATTTTTGATTCTTGGAAGTGTTCATATTCATGTTCTTGTTCTTATGATGTTTAGATGATCATAGGAATTATTTGTAACATATGCGGTAGATTAATTCATGATCATAATGTGTTTTAATGGAGTCCATAACTTGTCCTCAAGTTATGGAAAACCAAAAGTTACTTTGTTAAAAGCCATTAAAATAACACATGAGTTATAAAAATGAAGAGTCTTCATTTTTAATACTATATTAACTCATAAGTTACAAGAAATGAAAAGTTTTGAAAGTTTACAAAACTTGTCCTCAAGTTTTTGAACAAGTAAAGTCTTGATTAAAACTTTAGTTCCAACCCTTAGAATTTTAAAAGTTAAAATTCAATCCTTATACTTATAATATTATAAGTTAATAATATATATATATATATATATATATATATATATATATATATATATATGTATGTATGTATGTATGTATGTATAAGATCAAAGTCGTCTTACTGCTAGTACGCCTCATTCACGAAGCCAGTCTATAAGGTGGGTATAAGGTTGTTGCCTATAAAATGACAACTTAATGGGTGTCCACTCTCACCCACTGCTTGCTTGACTGGTGGAGGGTCGTTAGCCGAACGGGTAGGACAAGGACTTATCAATTCTCATTAAAAGTATAATGATAATTATAAAGTAACTAAATGTTTTATTAAATTCCCAATCTTAGTTACTTTAGGAAAAATGTGAATAAGGTGCTAATCCATGAAATTACACTTTACACTTTTTCTAAGTCGTTAGTGGAGCGTGTGTGGTTAACCGGCACACTAACTTGAACTTAACAAGGTAGGTAAAGGGTGACTTAATGTTTATCATAGTATCGATGGAGCGTGTGTGGTTAACCGGCATATTGATTGAGGGGTAATACATTAAGGGTACTAAGTAATTTGCATGGTTACTTCACACCTCGTTTTGTGATCCTCGGCATCCCAGTCACAAAACTTGGAGGGCACACTCGAGATTGAAACATGCATTTGAAAAGTTCATTGAATCTCAAAAGAATCTAGGAGTTTCTAAGAACCAAATTAAATATTTTTAATATTTCGGCTTTGGTGGAAATTGGTGAATCGTCATTCACCTACCTTTCAAATATGGTATTACTTAGATTACGACATACCTCTTCTAAGTATAATATATTGTGATTGGGTCCTAGCCTTAATACTACATTTGGGTGTTTTATTAAGGACTATCTCTATTTCTAAACTAAAGTTTTCTTCTTTTCAGATGTCTGCAAACACTGTTGCTTCTGGCTCTA